ACCACATGAAATAGATTTAAAAATGAAGAATGAATACTGATGTATCAGCCACACAGGCATTAAAAAATACCCAGAAATAGCAAAAGAAAAAGAGTTCTTGTCATACCCAGAAAAGATCATTACCATTTTAGCTAAGACTATGAGTATTCACCAAACTATAAAACTTAATATATTAGAAAAAATATTAAACAAGCAAACACATAAAAATATTTCATAATTCAGAGTGAGTTAGCTTTAAACTCAAGAAAATTCAAGGATTGAATGGTATACTTTTCAAATAACATTTAATGATTATTTTCTGGACCTGAGTTTTTGGGAATTATTTGTTTTCACCATTTAAAATCTTTGTAACACCTCACATTCATTCATTTTACTCTTTTCACCTCCTTGTTTTTTGCTGTCTTTGAGCTAATTCATATTCAGAGACTAATTCAGCTTCTTTAAAAATTCCCTTTTTTTGCTCTTCATTGCCCTCTTCAAATATTTTCCTACTTAAATATTAGAAAATACATTGAAATAGATTCTACAAAATTAGATAGCTGAACTACAAAATAATGTCTTTAATATATCAATATCTAGTTTTTGAGTGACAATAAGTTAGAAAATCGGTTTGCAAAATTAAACTTACAAAGTGATATAACTGCCATTCGCACACATCTGATCAGAATGAGAATGATGACAATGATCTTTGATAAAGATATTTTACATAGCTGTATACTCATGGAGCTGAAAGCTACATAAAAGAGAGAAATTCTGTTTTTAATCCATGTTGCTTATTGTCTTCCTAAGTATATATAATATAGTGCCCAAGTGTTTTAGGGTTTCTTCATTAGATTTCTTACAAGAGACATGGGAAGTGCAACCTCTTCCCAGTGGTGCATACAGTTTAGCATTACTACTACCCCTGATCCACTGATCTACCCTGTTACAGGGGAGAGACATTGCTGCTTCTTTTGGTTGTTTTGTTTTGAGAAAGAGTCTTGCTTTATTGCCCAGGCTAAGTGAGTACGGTGGCTTGGTGTCAGCCTTACTCACAGCAACCTCAAACTGCTGGGCTCAAGCAATCCTGCTGCCTCAGCCTCCCCAGTAGCTAGGACTACAGGCATGCACCACCATGCCCGGCTAATTTTTTCTATATATATTAGTTGGCCAATTAATTTCTTTCTATTTATAGTAGAAACAGGGTCTCACTCTTGCTCAGGCTGGTTTCGAACTCCTGACCTCGAGCAATCTGCCTGCCTCGGCCTCCCAGAGTGCTAGGGTTACAGGCGTGAGCCACCGCGCCCGGCTACATTGCTGCTTCTTGCACTCACCATCAACCCCCGGCCACTGCAGCTGCTACCACTAACTGTGCAGTGTGGTCTCTCTTCTCCTTTGTGCAACCACAGCACTGCAACCACCTCCACTTACTTACACCTCTTCACATTGCTCCACTCCTCTATGTACTGGAACTATCATATATTTGTTATGTTGAGGTCAAAAGCTAATGTCTATTTATCTCTTCTTTTATACTTTGAGAAAGCTTTTTTTACCCCTCATCCTAATTCTCCTAAATTTTTGGTACAAACTACTGTAGTAGATTTAAATTACAGATTACTTTTTTCCCCTAGTAACTAGACATGAGTTCACGAGCTGGATCGGTGAAGGATTTGAGTGACAGACAACACTGAACAATAAAGTAATTTCTTCCCTCCAAACCTGATACTCTCTTATGCAGTCAAGTTTGATACCCCTAATTTCATCTTTACTTAAAAACAGTTATAGAGCACTTAATTGGTGCCAAGTATTGTTCTAAATGCTCTCTAAATATGAATCCATTTAATTGTCATGATAACAGGATCAGGTACTGTCATTAGTCTCATTCCACAGAGCAGGAAGCTATGACACACAGAGGCTAAACAAATTGTTCAAGGTCACACAGATAATAAAAGGTAGAGTCAGACTTCAAACTCAGGCAGTCTGTGTGCTTTGCTGCTTTGTTGAACAGGCTGCCTCTTTGCTCATGAAAAACATCTTGGCATCTCATGTAAATAAACACCCTGCCCATAAGTCTGGTCTACCAGTTCACCATACATGCCAAATTTGTCTGAAACTTCAGCCCACTACATAGACATCATGCATTTGCATTGGCTTCAGTCATGAGAAATTGACTACGTATGTTCACCAGGTATGCTCATATGCATATGCATCCTCTTTCCTTCTATTTCTAAATGTTCTTCATCTGAAAAGAGCTTTGTACTTCTAATCATCTTGTTTTTGTACAGTCTAGGCAGGTAGCATAGAATAGAATTTAAGAACATAGATTCTGCTGCTAGATTGCCTTAATATGAATCTAAACTGCCACTTATTGTGTGACCCTAGGCAAACTGCTTACCGTCTCTGTTGCTCAGTTTTCTCATGTGTGAAATATGGATAATAATAGAACTTACTTTATAGGGTTGATATAGGAATTAAAGAGCTAAAGTATAGAGAGAATGTAAACAGGACCTTACATGTGGTAAGCATTATATAAGTGTATAGGTTACATACAATTTGTATAATATACTATATATAATATGCCATATATATATCATTTATATATGCTATTTTTGTTCTTTGCTACTTATTGGACAATTATTCATATATTTTTATAAATCAGTAGGTGCACAAATAGTTTGATTCTTAAGTCTCATAGTAGACTCAAAGAAAAAATACATATTAAACCCACTTATCCTATACATTGTTGTGAAAAAGCTAGTTAGAAGATAAGTATTTAAAAACTGGGATATAACATACATTTCACTGGGTTGGTTATAACCCTGGCTCTGTGCAATTACACCAACACTTTAGACCTCCTTCTGTTATATGGAAAACACTCCATTAAATCATAGATATTTTCAAGGGTAAAATGCCAATGCGATATTGGAAATTTCAATGGATTTTTTTTAACCTTTTGGCTAATGTGCATAATGATTGAGAATCAAAGAAATTTCAACATCCCAAGCAAACATCCAATGACCTATTTTCCATATGTTTTAGCCACTTAATGTATAGTAGGCTGACTTTTAAAATAACAGATAAAATAATTTATATGTGTATATTGTTTTACATAGCATATGTAAATAAAGGTAGAGGACATTTAATTTCTCATGGAGATCTAGTTATTGAATGGTATTTTAAAATTGATAAAGTAATAGGATTTGATCACATGTGATTACAAATGTGCTCACGAACTGAGGTCAAAAGTAAGATGATTAGTCAAGTTATATCTAATATTGTTATAATCCTGTGCTATTTAGAAATGTCAACTGAACAGTGACTTTAAAAAATTGACACTCCATTTTCTTATCTTTCTTTTAAATGTCAAACTGAAGAGCAAAGTACATGTGGGCCAGAGGGTATTTTGAGGTGTTTCCAGACTAAAGTTTTTATATATTGAAGTCAATATGTACTTTGGCTTCATTTATGTGATAACATAACACCTTATTTTAATAAAACATAGAGTACCAACAAGTTGAAACTGAGCATAAAAGAGAAAGCCCATTAGAGGGGGCGGTGAAAGGGAAGAGAGAGTTTCACGCCTCCAGTTCTTCTTCATGGGCCATTCAATGAAGCTTGTGTGCCCATTCTCCCATGTGCACTCAACTGGAATAAACTGATAGAGGCATTGTCTGCTCATAAGTCCACTTTTTTTTTTCCATGTTATTCCACACGTTCAGATTCAGGATTCAGATTCAGGTTTTGTACCCTCCTGATGTAACGAGGCTCCCTTTATTTATGCAATGCATATTTATTTATTGAGATCTTAATATGTGGCAGTCTTTGTGCTGTGTTCTGCAACAATCCCTACTAAGATGTTTACTGACCAGGGAAGAAAATACACAAGTAACTTCACAGTCGCAATCAATATGATAAGTTCATGTCAGAAATATCTATAAGATTGATTGAAGCGTGTGGAGAATTACCCAATTTAGAAGGTGGTACTTAGAAAAGGAGTCTGGAGGAAGGAGAAACAACCTATCTAAGTTTTGAAGTATTTGCAAGAGGTATTTGAGAGTCTGAAGTAGAATAGTGAAATGTACAAATTTTGGAGTCATTGAAACTCAGTTTCTCTGATAATAGGTGTGTGACCGTGGCAGGGTGACTATGCCAACATTGGCAGGGTGATTGTGTGACTATGCACAGTTGTGCAAGGTGCTCTCTGTACCAATAACTATGGCAAAAGGAGCAGGAAAATGTAGAAGCCAGCCAGAGCCGTGCTTGCCAATCTGCAGGCCATAGCTACTGCCTGTAATTCACAAACACAGTAGGGGCTAAAACAGCCCTGGACCTTGGATTAGTTACTTAACTTCGTTAGCCTTCCAATATCTAAGGTGAGAATTATAATAGTAGCTCATAGTATTGCAATAATATTCCAAGGAGTACGTAAGATAATTCCTGTAATTTACTTTGACATACCTAATGAGAGCTCAATAAGTGTTATTGTCACCACTAGAGAAGATAAGGTGGGGGAGATAACCATGGATAAGAATGGTTGGCAGCACCAATACCCTTTCATATTGTGAAGCCTCACAATATGAAAAGAAAGATAAACTATTCTGAGACGTGGGATCATCTCAAATAGAAACTATATCTGACATCTTGAATTTAGAGTAGGTTACTTCTCACTAAATAAAAATATTTCTTTACTCTTGATATTTTTTTTCGTTTTGTCTCTGTCCATATTTTATTTCTTTTCACTTTTCATTTCTTCTCCTTTCCTTTAACATCCAGTCTATAACAGAGAACTGCCAGTTTTGCCCATAAACACTGCTAAGTAGCAACCAAAAAGCTTCAAAGCCCCAAAGCATCAACGTGGTTGGACACTGAAATTTTTTTCCATGTAAATGTCTTTGACACTGCTAATAGATGAATACATCTGCTGTCATTTTAACTTTTTAGCAAAATTTGGAGAAAATTGATATTTCAAATATGCCTACCTTGCTCCTGCTGATTTTGTTTCTTCTTCTTGAACTACTCAGGCTAGTACCACCAGCAAGGACATGACTCTTTTCGATTACAAAATAAATGGAAATTGAAGATATGTCACAATGTATCCAGTAGAACTTGCACAAAGCAAAATAATTCTTCAACTCTGGGATGAAAGGATGAGCTCCCTCTGTGATCATCACTCTCTAGGATTGAAGAATTCATGGTTGTGTGGTTTGAAATTAAACTGAGTTTAAAAGTGTGAAAGATTTTTTTTTTTTTTTGCTGTTTATGTCCTAGAAAAAAAAAATTGAAAAGTCCATATACCGTAGATATTTGGATTACTATGAAGCATAACCCACAACTGATAGATTAAGTAAATGAAGACAATGGTTGTTAATAATTTCTTATATAATTATATCACTCAAATATCCACAAAATTAAAGCAGAGAAATTATCCTGATTTTCACCAATATACTTTGGTCTTTAGTTCTTTGCTTTGTCATTGTTATACTAATGCTACTGAGTGTATCTTAAATTTCCTAACTGTATTATTAGAGATTATAATGAATGGCAATTATGGCTAGCTTATGAAGAATATTAATCAAAAACACCAGGTAACATGGAAACATAGTGAATTAAATGCTAGGTTTAAAAGAGTCTATATTTTAGGAAACTTTTAGGAATTTATTAACTTTAAAATGGAAAAACAGGTATTATTTATCGAAACTCATCATGCCATGGGTGGAAAATAGATGTATCTTCTCTGAATTTCTGCAATGGATATATTAATAATAAATATAATAAAATAATTATATCATAAGAATTCATATAGCAACTTTTGTCTTTATTTTACAACAGTGAAAACTTTTCATCAAATGAGAAATTAAAAATAGAACATAAGCCCTTAATTTTAGTATAGAATTTTTTTTATCTTTATCTTCAGTTATTCAATGCTTCAGTCGTGATCTTTTATGGCTATTATTTTCAATCAATGTTGACCCCAAATAATGTGCCAGTTATTTACCTATTTTTCCCATAATTCCCTCCCTCATTTTCTTTATTATGCTATACAAGGATTGTTGGTTAACTTGCTAATATTGCTTGTAGGCTTCATGATATTCTGGTGGGATTGTGACTAAACAAGAAGAAGATTTGCATAAATATTGTGACCAAGGCCAAAGAGGGATGTCATGGCTATTGGGAATTTGCATCTACCTTCTTGGGGAGAGAGACTTACTTTGTATCAAGGAGAGTTACATTTTGTTAGGCAGAAGCATATTGTTTGTATTTGTCACCTCAACTCGAATAGTTGGTAAGATGCTATATTCTGATGTCAAGTAACTAAAATAATGTATTGATTATTTATCAATTTTCTCTCAGCTCTAAATAGAGGATAACAGTAGGAGATTGCAACAGAGGAGGAAGGGAGAAGGATGCCCTTCAAATATTTTGTTTGCTATCTTTAATGATATTGCCCAGATGTAGCTCTTTCCTCCAAGGGCAATAAGTACTTTTCTAAGCTTCTTTTGACACTCTTAGAACTAGTCTCATCATTCTTCCATAGTGGGACCAGCCACAAACAGATTACAATGCTTTCTCTAGGATCTAAATTCCAGATCCACGCTGCCTTTCCTCAAAGATTCTAAAATCTTACATCTAAACTCTTCCTTTTGTTTTACTAGATATGTTTTCTTGGAGTTATCATCTCTGGGTTATTTCTGTGTTCTCTTTTTCCTCATCCAGCTTTCCAGCAGCTTTGTTACAAATTCTCTATATTAAATATCCCCTGTTGAAATACCTGGTGTAGTTTCTTTTTTCTGTCGCATCTTGATCCATAGAAATATTGAAACTAAAGTGCTCTATTATTTGTAAAACATTAAAGTTCAAGTTACCTCATATTTTGTATGGAATCTTGATATTTTGATATGTGATAGATTGATTTTATGTGATATGATAGATTTTACATTCTGTTACTCATGGAGGCTTTTCTACTACCTGAAGAAACAATCTTGGTAGGAAAGAACTAGCTAAATACAAGGTTTCTATTTAAAAATAAGTTAAAAACAAACAAACAAACAACATTTCAAATCAGAAACATTATTTTGAAAAGATTGTGATTTGTAAGTAAATATTAATAGTGAAATTCTCTGAAATTATCCTTTGTTCACCTGAAATAGTTTAAAGAATATAAAGTGATGGGGATTCATTTTTTAAGATATTTTGTTTCTTAAAAATGTTCTTTGGACAAAAGTGTCAATTAATTCTATGAACAAGGTAATTTGGAGAGCTATTAGAAAACAAAGCAAAAAATAAAGGAGAAAAACACTCCAAGTTAGTAGTTCATTAGTTGATTTTTTAAAAAAAACTAGATAAATTCAAACAGAAGTAGTACAATAATGAAGACTGAAACGTTGCCAGTTGTCATGAATCAAATCAATGTTTTTGTACTATTTTACTAATATATAATGAGAAAACAGGCAATGAAATAACATTACATATTATAAATAACCCAAATACATGAAGTGCTATCATAATTAAAGAGAGGTTCTTGAATCTCATTAACATCAAAGAGACAACTTACACATGGTCATAGAGAATATATTTTCAAACACCAAAATCAACAGCTAACCAAAATCATGATTAATTTAATAGGAAGAATAGCTCTGCCTGTGATAATGAAAAATTGATGTTGAAAGACTTCTTGCAATGGCAGAGGAGTAGCATGGTTGTATTATCCACTTCTGGCTAGCAATTATAAACATTAGGTAAAAATTTTAAAAATATTATTTAAAGTATACAAGAAGAACACAGACCAAACCTAAGAAGGGGTTAATCTCAAAAATTGCAACTGAAAGGACTAAAATATTAATGATATTATTTATTCCTATTGGGAATTCTTTAGGAAGTACAGAGTTACATGGTTTCCATCACAAGGCAATGATGGCATGTACAAATCTGTACATAAGCCTCAATCCCAATATTATTTGGTTTACTACCCTTCATTTTTCCATCTGTATCTACTTTGATCTATAAAGTTGTGAATTTGTGATGCAATCTACATTACATATTTTTGGGAAATAACTTTATAAACAAATAAATATATTAAGGCATCCTTGCTAACTCAAAAGAAAATGAAGTGGGTGCAGTCACATCAAAAGGAGGTGGGTCATGCACACCATTGTTATGCTTGTCACTAATAGGATGTGTTATACACATCATTAAAATGACAGCTTTTCTGGCCTTTCAATGGTCTGGTAAATAAATCCTCATCACCACCTGAGACTGAAATAACTCTCAAATTGAATTCATAACTCTCTTCTTCTCCAAGTCACCCCCATCCTGCACCATCCATAATGATTTACTCTCCTAAGGAACACAACTCTGTTCTTTCAAAGCTATTATTTTAATCACTCACTTGATTATCTGTTATCCAGCCGATCATACAAATACTATATCTAATATATCATCTTTGGGTATTTCTATTTTTACATCAATTTGCTGCTATTTATTTTATTTTAGCAAAGAACTATTCATATATTTAGTGCCTTATGCTTTGAGGTTTCTTTCTAAAACACCAGTTTTTATTCTGTTTTAAAACTTTTGATGTTTTAAGCTAGAGTCCTCCCATGGTTGCCCAGTGGGTATATAGCTGCTACAAGATTAATTCTTAAAACAAAAGATCTGCTTTCTATTCTTAAACTTTTGATGTTCCAGTTTTATCCACTACAAAATGTCTGTCACTTTCAGCTTCCTAGTGACATTTTCCAAAATCTGACCTGACTGTAAGAAGGCTACCATAACTCCTGCTTTTCCCAAGGCAAATCTACTGCTACAACCTAATCGTGCTCCTCATTTCTTTTATTCCTCGCCAATCCTGACCAGTAAGAATATGTTCTCTAAGCTTGAGGTACCTTTTTTCTTCCACTATCTATATTAAGGCAATCTATTTTCTCAAAGACAAATTCAGTTCCCATTTTCTTTAGCATCCTTTGCCAAAATCCATCAGCCACATCAATGATCATATAAAATGCATTTTTATTATGTATTTTATTCCTTAAATATATGTGGCTATATATTTTTTCTACTTAATTTTTTTCTACTTAATTATATTATATCTCATCTCTCAACTTGGGTGGAAGTTCATCCAAAGAATTCATGAAGGTCCGCATTCCTTACATTTACATATCCTCTCAGTGATTAGGAAAATGTTTTATGTATAGATGATGCCTAATAAGTATTATTTGCATAAGTACAGTGCTTATATTACACATTTCTAATTTATTCACTACTGACAACATTTTAAAATAACTTAATTCATTTTTTTCAGGCGTTCTTAAAATGTACTGATTTGGAATGGACAGCCAAACGAATCATTGGGAAATTTTTTTAAAATCAAAATTATTAAACGAAAAGCCCCAGCAAGAGGTCTTCCAAATGTGCTTTCAGGAAAAAAAAAAAAAAGAAAGAAAAGAAAATTACCGTATGGCTGTAACAACAACACAATCCAATTCCAGACAATTTTGTGTGCCTAACAGATTGGAATTTTATCACAAATATGTTGGTTAGCTAATGAATTCATTTGAGTGTGATTAACTTCTGGATTGCAGCAAACCTGTTTATGTACAAAATTATGGTTTGGAATGATCACTTGTTGGCTTGTGAATCAAATAATTTGGTTTGTATATAGAAAATCCAATGTGCATATGGTGTGAATGCCACTTGTAAAAATATAATTCATAGGATATGGATAGTATGAATTTGTGATGACTTTGTAAATTGGCTGACAACTTATTTTGTGACATATGCCCAGAAGGAATGCTTTATGTATTCCATGAAAGAGAGTTTTAAATTTTAACTCATATTCTCTACATACATTATAATCAAAGGGATATGAAGTTATCTCCTTTGGATTCTTCTACCCTCAATCCTTAACCTTAACCATTTCAAATAATTGTAAATAAAGGTTTTAGGTTTTTTTATTCTTAACCTATGTTTTTACATGCAGAACATTTATAATATCTGCATGACTTTTAGGAAATTGCTGTAAAATAAAGACAAATCTTCAGTGCATTGATACCAGTACAACATTGGGTAAGAGAAGGAAGGCTTTGAACTACATGTTTACTAAGGCTTTTTTTCTTTTTTAGCAACCAATTTCTTTTGTTTCAACTACAAATTACCGTTTTGGCTAGTTAACTGGAAATTCTTTGTAAAGACTTTTATTTGTAGGAATTTGGAAGGAGAGCAATACTGAAAAATTCTCCCAACAGAAAACACCTAGAAATGTTTGATTTGCTTGACACTTAGCTTTTAAACTAATTATAAATCAATGAAATAGTATATGTATTATTGAATTTTCTAACACAGGAATTATATTTCACCATAAAAGTAAATGAGTTTACCACCAATACTGATATACTTTAAACATAATCTTTCTTCTCTACTCCCCCAGCCAGGCTGCTGGTTTCTCATTTTTCATTAGTGTTAATAATAAAGTGATTTTTTTTCACAGTATCCAAATGTAACATATTTTTTTTTTTTGAGACAAAGTCTCACTCTATTGCTCCAGCTAAAGTGCAGTGGCATCATCATAGTTGACTGCAACCTCAAACTCCTGAGTTCAAACAATCCTCTTGCCTCGGCCTCCCTAGTAGCTGGGACTACAGGCATGTACCACAATGCCCGGCTAATTTTTTTTCTATTTTTAGTAGAGACAAGGTCTCGCTATTGCTCAGGCTGGTCTCAAACTCCTGACTTCAAGCCATCCCCCTGCCTCAGCCTCCCAGAGTGCTAGGATTACAGGTGTAAGCCACTGCACCAGGCCCAAATGCAATACATTTTTGTAATAGAGGTGTGACAAAAAGAAGGTACTTCTATCTATTTTAATATAAAAGAATGAAATAAATTTCAGTTCTGTTCTTACCCTCCATACTCTAAACTCGTCCAGCCAGCAAGGCCTAGGAATAGTTACAGGTAATAAATTAAACAAATAGTTATTGAGTACTTATCATGAGCCAAATAATCTCCTAAATTTTAGAATATAAAAACACAGTCAATGTTTACTTACAGAGTTTCCAAAGGTAATCAATTAATCAATATTGTTGCCCTTTCTGACCTGACATATTTTCTAGTATGTTCCCAATAGAGTCAACTAAATAAAAACATACTC